TCACCCTGCCCACATGGAGGCAGGGGCTCCTCTGTCCTGTAGGTGACTCATCAAACTTTTCCCTGAGCACCTATGGAACCTGGTCCTTCCTTCCATGTCCTTGCCAACCAAGCATGCTTCTAAAGGCCGCCTCCTTTCCACAGAGGTGCCCACAGGGTGGGAAATGCAGGGTCAGGGTCGGAATGCTTGATGCTCCTGCTATTATATTGCTCATTGTCACTTCGTAAATTGGCTGTTTGGTTTGGTCAGTGTACATCCAACCTTCCTCCCAACGCATAAAGTCTCAACCTAAGACAAGACTCTGGACTGAGGTAGATTTAGGAAGATGATGCCACCCAGGGAAGCCCAAGATAGCAAGGACTGCCTTCCCCACATGTCTTTGCTCTACTGGATTCAGAAAGAGGGAGGAATAGAATTTAGAACAAAGGAGATTCTCCTTCCCTCACCCTTTTATTGCCTATAGAATCTGGGAGCTGGAGAAACTCCAAAGACATGTAATCATTCTTAACTTGAGCACACAGGCTACCTCACATGGGTCTGTCCATGCCCAAGTAATGGAGCCTTGTGTTTATGCTGACACTACAGACAGGTCTTTGGCAACAGGCTCACGAAGGCACTATACTGGAGAGTTGCAAGTAAACCCAGAGTTTTCTTTTGTCAGAATATTCTGGGGGAAATCCATTCCACTACTCCCCGGCACTGAAAACAATCTCAAGTTAAAAGAATTATCCCCTCAGTTGTGGGCAGCAATCTGTGTGCTAGGTCCTTGCATCAAGGCATAACATATAACCCCTTCTCTCTATAGGATGGCTTTTCTTTTTCTTTCTTTCTTTTTTTTTTTCGTCTGGGGCCTTTCCAAGAAAATTAGTTCCTTCCTTTGATAGGGAAATGCATTCTTTTTTTTGGGAGGGCAGTGTAACTGGCCCTCACATGTGGGATCTGAACCGGGGCCCTCTGGCATCCCAAGCCAGCTCTTAACCATCTCACCACTCTGCCGGCCCATAAAGATTTTATTATTAGGGTTTGGGGGAGGGGAACAGACAAGTTAATGTCCTTTTGTTCTTCAGTCTAGTTGTGGAGGACGGCGCTTTACTGGCCCATGTTGGTATTATCATTGTGCTCTTTCCGGGAGAGGCAGTCGCTCACCAGCCATTGGATGGCCGCTCATGGCGGCTCACGAAAGCTCACACCTGCTGCCCACCAGCCCCACTGCAGCCTATGACATCGCCCACAACTCAAGGCAGCCCAGCTCCAGGTTGAACTGTTGTTCACCATCTTAGCTGTAGAGGGTGCAGCATCACTGGCCCTCATATGGGATCTGAACTGGGGCCCTGCTGCTCAGAACTGGTGTCCCAAGCCAACTCCTAACCAATATGCCATTCGGCCGGCCCTGGGAAATGCATTCTTTACTAAAATAAACTTGATATTCATTTTACCCTACAGCAGGAGAAAAGTGTTTGGTTAATTGTTTGGCTATAAATTGATGAGCTGAGAGTGATTATCTGTTAACTTACAATTTGGTCATATTATAAGGAATGAAATTTTAAGGAAAAATAGACCTACTAAATTATTTACTTTTTTGCATAATGGAGTTCTGAAATGCACTTAAGAAATTTGGAAACAATGAAGAATGATGTTAAATTTGAATAACAACCAAAATGATAGGGTAATAATTTCTTTGTCACTATTTATAAATAGACTGCCTGGATATAAAATATTTGAAAAGTTAAGTGGCCTAGGGCAATTTATTTTTTATATCATATTTTTTATTACATTATTGTCCCCCTTATTATTGCTTTCTTTTCCATTTACTTTTGCCTCTTAGCCCTATCTGAATTGATCTGAGGTTAAACATGGGATTTTCTTAGGGCTCCAAATGCTGTTGGGAAATGTCACCTTTAAAAGACCAGGATAGGGCCCCGAGTGGCTCGTTGGTTAAGAGTTGGTTTGGGAGCGGAGGCTCTGAACAGCAGGGCTGCTGGTTCGGATCCCCCATCGGCCAGTGACGCTGTGCCCTCTACAGCTAAGATGGTGAACAACAGCTCGACCTGGAGCTGGGCTGCTGTGAGTCACCTGGCGAAGGCATAGGCTGCAGTGAGCTATCATGAGCTACCATGAGCTACCTACCATGAGCGGCTGGCAGCTGGTGTGGGTGCCAGTGTGGGCTGCCGTGAGCCACTGTGAGTTGTCCAATGGCTGGCGACTGATCTGCCTCAGCCGGGAAGAGCGCAATGATCACAATACCAACATGGGCCAGGGAAGCGACATCCTCCACAACTAGACTGAAGAACAAAAGGACAGCAACTTATCTGTTCCCCTTCCTCAATTCCCCAACACTGTTCCCTCCCCCAAATCCCCAATAAAATCTTAAAAAAAAAAAAAGACCAGAATAATCATGTTAGGAGGTCATAAGGTTTTCCAGACTTTTTGGGTCTCAATATTTAAGAGCAAGTATTCCTGTGATTTTGAATAATTCCTTCTCCCAGTACATATATAAATAATAGTGAAGCCTGAGTGAGAGAAGAGTAAATTGATTTATAAATGTAGACATCTTTTCCCACCCTTTCATTTAGAAATTGCCATTCGAAGATTAGACTCTAGAACTCTTTGATAAAACTAGATCTAAAAAAGTATTTTGATTTTGTTCTTTTCCTTCATCTAGAAACAAAATTATCTAAGGAAAAAAGTTACCTAGAACAACTACTTAAGTATTTTGGTTTTTGATTTGGTGTAACATGATTCCCCACACCCTCCCTAGGAAAATTTTTTTTTTGTCCAGAAACTATTTCAGCTTTTTTAGCTCCCTTTCCTGTTTTAAAACAAAGCTGATTGAATTTTTGGTGTAATGCACATCTATGAATTTTTTTAGCACTGTTGTGATTGTTTTGTAGCCTTTAAAGGCTAAAGGTCATATTCTCCATACTGATAAGGAATTTTATTTAAATATTTGGTTTTTATTTAAATATTGATGCTTAAGGTTTTTGAGAAACATAATATTTTACCCACATAACCATAATATGGTTTTTAAAAATAATATTAATGCTGGTGGTAAATTTGGATTAAAAAAATTATAGATTGTGAGTAGCTTCTAAATGTACTTTACATTTCGAAGATTTTTTTGTTCCCAAGTTAATAATTATTTTATTTCTTTCACATCTAAAGGCATTTTTTTAAAAAGTCAAAACCATAGAGAACATGAAATTTTATGGACTTTTTTTTTTTACTTTTAACTATCAAAAGCATATTTTCTTCTCTTGACCATTAATTACTTGTCCTTAACCATCTTTTAAATGGCTACATTGAGTGGATGTCCTGTGACTTTATTAATCATTTCCCAACTTCTAAACATTTAAAATGTGTTCACAATTTTTCAAGAGAGTGAACACGTGAATAATTATGAGCAAATCGTTTTCCAACTGGAATTTTTCTATTAATTACACTGTCACATGAAACAAATGTTTGTTTCAACTCTTCTCTACATGAAGAGGTGATTCTTTGATATTTCATTAGGTAGAAAATTGTATCTAATTGTTGTAATCTTCTTTAGTTACTACCAAATGTACCAAATAATTGCAGCCCTTCATCTCTAAATTGCTTGTCCATGTCCTCTGCCCACTGAAAAATATATTGAAGCAGGCTTTTGTTTTACTTGGTTATTCCCTGTGAAATTTAGGTAACCCAAATCTGGGGCCCTGGGCCATGAAACAAAAGTTCACAGAATATGAATCAATTTACACTTTGACTTAACAGAAAATAAGACTAGGTGACATTTAAGATATGCAATGCTTATTATTTGGAATTGACTGAAAAGACTAAATTCTTCATCCCCAAATGTGTAACATGTTTGCAAAACAAAGCAAAGCAAAACAACTTGAGCTTGAACTACTATATGATCTAGCTATTCCACTTCTGGGTGTTTATCCAAAGAATACAAAAACACTAATTGTAAAAGATGTATGGACCCCTATATTCATTGAAGCATTATTTACAATATGCAAGATATGGAAACAGCTTAAGTATCCATTATTGAATGAATGGATAAAGATATGGTATATATACAAAACGGAATACTACTCAGTCATTAAAAACAATAAAAGCTTGCCATCTGGGACTACTTGAGTGGACCTTGAGGGTATTATGCTTAGCGAAATAAGTCAGACGGAGAAAGAAAAATGTCATATGATTTCACTCATTTGTGGAATATATATTAATATTAAAAAGAACAAAACAAAACAAAACAAAAACAACTCATAGGTGCAGAAAACAAATCGAGGGTTACCAAAGAAAAAGGGGATGGGTGGGGGGAGCAAAATGGGTAAAGGGAGTCAATTATATGGCGATGGATGGAAACTAAGTTTTTTGTGGTGATCATGTGGTAGTGTTACAGGTATTGAACAATAAAGTTGTACACCTAACATTACACAATGTTAAAAACTAATGTTACCTCGATTTAAAAATAAATGAAGGCAGGAGGCTGGGAAAGGAATGAGGTGGGATGTCCTCTCTAAAGGGAAAACGCAGGCGGGCAGTGTGGGTACATTTAGGAGCTAGTTTGTGTGTATGAGGGAGGTAGGTTTAGCCTGTGACTCAAGATAAATTTGAGGTGGGACGTCCAGGGTGCTCCTCTGTCGCGGCCTGTACTGTAGCCCATGGAAACTGCCTCCAGTCCCCACAAGAGCGCTGGGACACAGGAACGTGTGGATTCCCAGAGGCCAGCACACACGGTAAACGCTCAACGCTGAGAGCTCTATTTGATGAATAAAGGAATGAACAACAGGGAGTGTCACGATCAGCAGCCACGTCGTATCACGACAAAATTTTAACTAGCGCAGCGTCTCCTCGTAACTTCTCCAATTCCCGACGACCCCCGGAACCTTTGTTGCACACTACCGAAGTTGCAACTCCGGAGGGAAGACAGAAGGATTCGGACCTTGACAGACGGGGATTTAAGCCAATGAAAAAGGCAAGATGTGCATGCTGCAGCCAATAATGGGTTAGAAGGAAGTGACGCCAGAGGAAGTACAAGGGACGGAAGGGGACTGCCGGTAAACACGGAGCCTAAACAGTTCTCCTGTGTTTGTGAGAAGAGTAGGGGGCAAGGATGTCGGAGCGAAAAGTTTTAAACAAATACTACCCCCCTGACTTTGACCCGTCAAAGATCCCCAAGCTCAAGCTCCCTAAAGACCGGCAGTATGTGGTGCGGTTGATGGCCCCCTTCAACATGAGGTGTAAGACGTGCGGAGAATACATCTACAAGGGTAAGAAGTTCAACGCGCGCAAAGAGACGGTGCAGAACGAGGTCTACTTGGGCCTTCCTATCTTCCGCTTCTACATCAAGTGCACGCGCTGTCTGGCAGAGATCACCTTCAAGACGGACCCCGAAAATACAGACTACACCATGGAGCACGGAGCCACGCGGAACTTCCAGGCCGAGAAGCTCCTGGAGGAGGAGGAGAAGAGAGTGCAGAAGGAGCGGGAGGACGAGGAGCTGAACAACCCCATGAAGGTGCTGGAGAACCGAACCAAGGACTCCAAGCTGGAGATGGAGGTACTGGAGAACCTGCAGGAGCTCAAGGACCTGAACCAGCGGCAGGCCCACGTGGACTTTGAGGCCATGCTGCGGCAGCACCGCCTGTCCGAGGAGGAGCGACAGAAGCAGGAGCAGGAGGAGGATGAGAGGGAGACAGTGGCCTTAGTGGAAGAAGCTAGGAAACGAAGACGGCTGGAGGACTCCGATTCGGAAGAGGATGCTGCTGCTTCCGCCCCGCCCCAGCCGGCCCACCGGCCCAAACCCACCGCCATCCTGGATGAGGCTCCAAAGGCGAAGAGGAAGGTGGAGAGCTGGGAGAGGAGTGTGGGCACCTTTTGCAGCAGGCCTCAGCTGTCAGGCCTTGTCGTGGTGAAGAAAACAGACCTGGATCGAGGGACCCCACAGGGTCAGCCAACACCTGCTCTGGGCGCTGTGAATAACGGGAAGGTGGCAGACCCTGCACCCAGGACGCCTGGCACCTCCTCCCTGAGCCAGCTGGGTGCGTATTCGGACAGTGAGGATAGCAGCGGCAGCAACTGAGGCCCTTACCCAGGTTAGGGGCCATGTCCAGCTCCAGTTGGTGACCGGGCAGGAGGCCTTGGCACCAACCAGAGCCACGACTGGACAACCATGAACGTCTTCTTAGGCTGGCAGGGCCTATTAGGGCTTCAGCTGAAGGACTCGGTTTTTCTCCTGTCCCTCCAACCACCAGCCCTTTGGGACCTCGAGGTCCGCAGCTCACGCTGCCCCCCACTTGGCACCAAGTTTAGGATTGCCGACATCCCTGGAGGAATGCATCCTCTCTTGGACAGTCCTTGCGATGTCAGCCATGTTTTGGGTGTGTGGGTGATCCCATCCACCATCCCTTCCCTCCACAAAATCATCTGGAACCAATAAAAGGAACCTGCAAAAAAAAAAAAAAGAAAAAGAAAAATACTTTGGGAATATTGCTGCCTCTGGACATATGTCAAGGCAATTCTTATTAGAGGACACATTAAAATTCTAGAATTGTGAATTCTGTATATACAGTAACTACAAATGGAAGACATCCTGGCTATTTTTAATTCACAAAAGTAGAAATTCATTTTGCAGATGATGGACTCCGAACTCTAGTCCAAGCTGCTGAAAAAACTTTTCTGCTAACTGTCTTTACCCAGATTGAACACTGGGATTCTGTGGGAGGAGTGGGAGGCCATCCACTCCCATGGACTCTGCTAGCAGATTTATCACAATGGATCCTCTTTTGGAATTTTTAATATACCAAATAAGAGTCTTTTTTAATAAAGTCCTGTTTAATGAGTGTAAAGTTGGTCCCTATATCACTGGGTTATAACACTCTTTAATGGTGGCTACATGATAGTGTACCTACGAGAATTCCACCAATGTTTATGAAGAGAGGTTCTCTTTGACCATTTTACATTTTGTTAAAAGCAGTTTAAAGGTGTGCTTACCTCCAGTAGTATCTCTTTGTTATGTACCTATCTGCTCACTGTGCTGTTCTTCCACATAAAAACGACACTGTTTGAGCCCTGGTAACAGGCTAAGTATTGCTTATGAAGCAGGTGACTTAGCACATAGCACTGCATCTAGGTGAGTTGTGGAGTAAAATACCAAGACCATTTTGGTGAGTAGTTCCTAACAAACTAATGTCTGTCTTTTTGAGTGTCTGTTTTATTTTTTGTACAGACAACCTTTTATGTTTTAGGAGGGTTTGGTGGTGATAAGAGATGTTGCCACCCCTGGAACTGATGATGGGGTCAGCCTGTGTCCCCTCCCAATGTGCAGCAACACCTCCCTATACACAATTACAATCATTTTATGGAATTTTAACCTTAATAGATGGAGGGTACAATTTTGGAGAAAGAATGAATAAAATTGGATTCCTTTTGAAGAAATATAAGGAGAGAAAAGTCAGCACTTAAGGGCAGCATAAGCATCAAGCTGGCTTTGGGGGTGACTAGTTAGCTCAGTTGGTAGAGCGTGGTGCTGAGAACACCAACATTGCCAGTTCGGTCCCCACATGGGCCACTGTGGGCTGCGCTCTCCTCAGGAGAGTCAACTGTGCCATTGTAGCATGGGGCAATGTGTGACCAATGACCATGGCTGTTCCCCAGTAAAAATTAAAAAACAACAACTGGCTTTAAGCTATACATAACTGTAAACTTTGATAAGGGAGAAAGACTTAAAGGTTAACTTGTTATTGCATTCCCAGCATTAAATTCTGAAGCCATAAACTAGTGGACAGCAGCTGGTCTGCCTTCTAGACAAGAGCTATGTATGGGGAAGATGGTGTCCAAGCCAGCAAGCTGTAGCTGCAGAGTACTATGGCTTTATGGCTGTGCCCCAGGACACTGAAGCTATTCCACCTGGTTGGGCCACTTATTAAACATGACTTTGGGCAAGTTATTTAACCTTTCTCTGCTTCATTCATTCATAGATTAAGCAGCTACTCTGCCAGGCACTGTACTAAGTGCTGGGGATACAACAGGGAACAAAATAGACAAAAATCCCTATTTTTTTTGTAGGGGGTGGGGGTGGGGGGGTGTATGTACGTGTGCGCGCGCGCACGCGCGCGCAGTTTCATGATCTGGGTGCTGGTGATCTGGATGGTGTTTGTAAAAACTCACTGAGCTGTGTACACTTACTTGCATTTTTCTGTGTATTACTTCAATATTTTAAAAAATCCATGGCCCTGTGGCGATCACAGCTATGTTAAATGAGGTAGGTAAACCATGTAGGCCTGTGTGCTTGCCACATAGTATGCACTCAAAAACAGTGGCTACTGTTAATCCAGTGAAACTGTTTAATCAGGCAAACTAGGCCATTGGGATGTTCAAGAGATTCAGCTGGCTCAGCCAGTAGGATTAGTGCACAGAGTCCTTCCATAAACCAGTTGGGCACGGACCACGCATCTGTTGTGAAAAAGGTGTTTTTTCAAGGTCAAGAAATAAGAGGAATTTTGTTAGCACTTGCAAACTGATGCAGGGCTGCTGTGAACATTTGGATAGGTTGTGCACTGCACAAGGGCTCCATATTTAAGGGGTTGCCATTCATATCGCAAACCTCATGGGTTTGTATATTTATTATAATTTTCTGGCAGAAATTGTGGTGACCAAGTGTCTTACTCTAACAAAACATGTTAAAACAACCTTCTGACAGATGGAAGTCAACGGTGTGAAGAGCACCATTTTCTAACTTGCAGAAAGATGCTGCATGGAAATACCACCCAAGGACTAGGAAATAGGAGTTGTCCTTTAAAACGCATACACAGAGGCCCAACCCCTGAGAACTGACTATCGGGGTCTATGGTTATTTTAATCATCGAATTGGAACAAACTGGCCTTTGCAGTTCTGGATTATGGATGTTTCTACCAGAGACAGATCCTCTGGGTTTCTGACAAGTTGTGTTGTCTGAGAACAAGACCCTGACGGTGTGACTTCATTGAAGCCCTGCTCCCTCTTAGCACAACACCATGAATTTTTCCTGATGAAGTGGGTTCTAGCTGGTCTCATCTTAAAGAACCATGAGCGATGTTAAACATGCAAGCTCCTAGGTCCCCAACCCAGCAAATCTGAGGCGGGCCCAGACATCTGTGTTTAGCAAGCATTCTAGGTTAGTGTAGGAATCCCGGTTGTAACAGGGTTTCTAATAAGGGGGCTGAAATCAGGCTAACTTGAGCTCCCTTCACCTTATGGAGGGAAGGGGTATGGGAAAGTGAGAGGCAGTATTTAAGTTCAAAAAGGCTTAATGTATGGTGGGAGAGGAAGAAGGAAAAAAACCTGGGAAGCGGGAGTCTGCCTTCTGCCTTTTCTAGGCTGGGCCAGGAAAGAAGCTACCTGCTGGACTGGGTGGGTAGAGAGCTGGTGAGTGTGCAACACACCTGGCCCTTGTGGGGGCCAAGGGGGAGGGAGAGGGCTCTCATCATGGGGCAGCCCCAGGTCAAAGAGCAAAGCAGGCACAGCGCTGTCTGCCCTGTGGTCTGGGATTGGGCCACTGGGCCAACACCCCAGTAACGGGATAGATCTTTGCCTCATCCTACTCTAAGGATCAATGAAGCTTTGGCAACAGACGTAAGCCAAGCACTGAAGTACTGTGAGTTAGGGTTAGTGACAGAGTGGGGAAATCAGAGGCTAGTCATCAAATTCTAGCCAGTCCAGGGGGCTGGCTGCAAATGGTTCTCTAGCACTAGGTTCCAGCCCCCACCCCACCTCTGGTTGTTTCCTATCCTCAGAACAAAGTCCAGGATGGAACCTGAGTCTAGGCTGGAACCCCAGACCTTTTAACAGGGCAGTATCAGTCCTGGAGATGGGGCAGTGGGGGTGGGGGTTAGACCAAAAAAGTATCATCTTTTAAGGACCTGTTCTAAGCCTCACCAGCCAGAATAAAACAACTTCCAGTTTGCTCCATTCTCTACGGCCTTGGCTGCCCCAACTCGTGGAAGAGGAAGAGGGGCCGAGCCCAGGCTATAACGGGACGCCTCACCACCTAGTTCAGACCCCAGAGCCTCTTCACCAGCTGAAGAATCTGGGGCGTTTCAGCAGTTCATCCCCTCCTACCACTGGGCCCAGCCCGGGAAGTGTCAGGGTCTCAGTGTGGGTGCTCACAGGGGACCAGGTAGGGGGCTCGGTGCTGGTGGGACCTTCCACCATGCGCTTCTAAGAAGCAACAGCTGCGTCCTATTTTCTTTTTAAAAGAGGCTTGTCGGTGGGGGTGGGTTAAGGCCAAGAAACCAAACCAGTTCAATATGAATCACACTGCCAGTGCCAGGTATTGGGGGATGGAATCCTGGCAGCTCTGGGGTAGTGCAAATAAAATGGCTGGCCTTAGAGTCTGAAAACCGGAGTCTGAGTGCCAGCTGTACTTATTAACAGTAGGACTTTGGGCATATCACTTGACTTGAGCCTCAGTTTCCTTTTCTATAAAATGGGCTTAACAGCACCTGCTCCACAAGTGCACTGTAAGGGGTAAGTTAGAGCACGGTGAATACTGCCGTTGTCATCACTACTGCTACCGAACGCCCTGATCCATGCCCTCGGGACAGGCTGGGCAGGTGCCTGAACCCCAGCCCTTGCCCCAGAGACCAGCCTTCCTGTTCCTCCCCTGCTCCCAGAGAACACGGTGTAACCAGCTTTTGTTGGGGGACTGGGGTGTCCTTCCCTTCGGGCTCCATGCACAACAGCTAGAAAGAACAGAGTGATCAATCAGGTGTGGTCATCAGGGAACAAAGTTCAAGACCAACAGGCAGGGCCCGATGGAGGTGGGAACGAGGAGCAGGGGCTGATGGGGTCATCAGCAAACTTTACACAACAAATAAGGAGGCCTTGGGGGAGACGGGAGAGGGAGGGAAGGAATGGGGGCAGCCAAGTGCCCAGGACACAAGTGAGGCCCCTCCCAGCTTGGGGAGCTCAGGAAGACGAGGGGCAGGTGAGGGGAGGGGCCAGAGCACTGCGCTGGGCCTCACCCCATGCCCATACCCACCCCTCACCCCAAAACAACCCCAAGGCTGGAAGGTGAGGAGCGGGGGAGAGCAACAAGGGGCTCCAGGTCCCTCTGAGGGGCTGAAGGTGACTCAGAAATCGGAACAAAAAGGCCAAAAGGTTTTTACTCTGTGAGCCCCGAGGAGGGCCGGGCAGAGCACAAGGTGTCCACAGGAGGGATGAGCAGAGAGGAGGAGCTGGGGCTGCAGTCTTGCTTCCCTGCGGAGGCAGGAGCGAGAGGAGGTGAAGGCCGGGCGTGCCCTCCCCAAGGGCTTTGGAGGGCTCCGGTCCTGGGGCCCAGCTCCAACACCTGCGCCTCCTGAGCTCACACAGGAATCCTCCACCGTCCAGACATCCCACGGCTTGCCTGAAGCCTTGCCAGGAGAAAAACGCTTGGCAGAGGGAAAAGGCCAGCGCGGGCTGACCGAAGCTGATCTGCTTTCTTCCCAGAGCTGTGGCTTTCCCCGCCAGGAAGAGGACACAGCCGAGGCAGGGAGGACCTGAGGACCCGAGCGCTGTCTTTGCCTGCCAGAGCTGTGCCCCAGATTCTCCAACTTCCAGGTCAGGGGTCTCGGTTCAGGAGATGCTGGGTTAGGCTCAGAGCTCATCAGGGGGGCTGTGTGTGAGGGGGGAGGCCTTCTGGACGCCTTCATCCTCCTCGGGGCTGGGGTCTCCCTCGAGGCCCCCCAGCTCCTTCCTCTGTTTGCCGCCACTGCCGCCTGCCGCCTTGGCCTTGCTGCTCTTCTTCTTGGACTTCTTCCCTCCCAGGGCGGCTGTGTCCCCTTTCTTGCTGGACCACTGCTCTGCCAGGCAACCTGCGGTGGGGAGATGTACATACTTTCAACAGACTGCTTTGCTGGGTGGGGAGCACTGATTGGGGAGCTGCTGGGACTGGCAAGTGGAACTGGTACTTGATGTCCAACCAAGTCCCTACCTCCCACCACACTGGGGCCCCCTGGGCCCCCTGGAGGCACCTGAGCTCTCTGCATGTCATGCTGTACCTGGCTTCAGTGCCTCTTACCCACCCTGTCCCATCTCGCTCCCAAGGACAGAGAGCCTACGACACCCTCTATTTATTTCTTCTCTGTCCTCTCCCTACCCACCTCCCTTGAGGGGGAGCAAACAATAACATGGAGGCATGGCCCGCCCTGCCTTCTCCCTCCTCAGACTCACTGGTGTCCTTGCCCTTTAGCACATGGTTGGCACAGAGGAACTGGGTCAGGTCCTCCTCCTGGTGGTTCCGGTACCAGTCTTCGATCACCTCCTCAAATTCTTCCACCAGCACGTCGCACTGTTAATCACAACACCCCACGTTGGCAAAGCCCCAGCACTGACTCACTTCCAGAGGGGCCCAGCTGAGCCTCAGAACCCGCCACCGGATAGGTGGGTGGCTGTTTCTCCTGAAGTCGGACAGATGAAACGACCACAGCCCCCCAGCTAACGGTGGCCTTCCACGGCCGCCACCCCAATCCCCACCCATGCCTGTGGGGCCCAGCAGCATTTGGGGGTCAAAGGGCCTCTCTACCTGCTTCTTGAGGTCAGCCACCTCCGCAGAGGTCTCGTTCCACAGCTCGTAGGGGATGTCCATCACCACCTTGACCCCTTTGTGTACCAGGTTGTGCAGTGTCTCAAAAGTCTCTGACATGCCCTGGAAGAGGCAACCAGACATGAGAGGCAGAGTCCCTTCTCTAGGTCCCGCCCTCCTCTCCAGGTGGTGCTGAAGGTCCAAGGACCCAGCTCTGAGAAGTTAAGACCCTCTAAGGCTTCTCACACTTGACCTCACCTTCCCCTCCCCTCTTTTAGGCCTGCCTCCCCCACCCGCTACACACACACACACACACACACACACACACAGCTGCCTCCCCACACCTCATCCTTTCTAAAAGGTCTGCTGTGACCTGCAGGACCTTTGAACATATACTGTTTTTCCAGGAAATAAGTTTGTCTTGGTTCTTCCCCATCACTGGGGCTGGGCACACTCACTCCCCCATTCCTAGGCCCACGCCTTGCCTCGGGTTCTTCCTAGGGCTTGTGCCTTTCCTTGGTGGGAAGAGGGTGCAGGCAAGGCAGGAAAGACTCGGTTTTATAAAAAACTATTTCTGCCAGCTATCTAGGTTTCTGCCTGGAGACAACATACTATCTACTTCCTCTGTCTTTCCAGAGAGAACGCATACAAATACAAGACATACAAATATATCCTCCTCTCCTCCAACCCCACTTGTTACACAAGCAGTAATACATATTATACCACACACACTATTCTGCACTTTGCCTTTTTTACCTAATCATACACCTTGGAGATCATTTTTGTTCAATTCCTAAAGAGCTACCTCATTCTTTACTTTCCAGTTGCATAATAGTCCACTGAATGGCCACATCAATTTATGTAAGCACTCCTGGCTGGGGAATGGTTAGGGTGTTTGTAATTTTTTTTTGGTATGGAAAATAACTTGAAACATTTTCACATTAAAGCAAACGTGGGTTTATTACTAACTAGGGTACAAAATTTATACAAATTTTAAAGAGAAAACCTCAGACTTCTTGAGACTATCCCTCTAGGCTTCCCAGGGGTTTCTGACAGGTCTCCTTTGCTAGGAGGGTACTTAGGTCGAGAAATGTGCCAGGAACTGACGATGTGGAGACAAAGAAATATGCGCCTTGTAAGAAGCTCATTCTCCAGGGAGAGAAGCATTTGTTCACATAGTTAGTGCCTTAACTCTTTCCTGCTTTAACTGATTTCAAGTATTTTTTCCAAATGTGTCAAAATTCCACAAAAAAATAAAACTTGATATTTTGACTACTTTATGCGTTTAATAACATGTTGAACTGCTCTATATATAAATGACATTTTTATTTTAAACCTTTGTTATATGGTAATAAATTGAATTTCAGCAAAAAATACTCAAAATATACTAAGTGGCATCAATTAGATAGTGTAAGCCACAGGAAAATATATCTGAACGGTTGTAGCAAGAGTTAAACATCACAGAGGCACCCTGATCAGGTCGAGGTGGATGCCCTGTGGGCCCAGAGGAGGAACAGGGCAATCGTCCCCCAGTATCCCCAGGAGTCTCCTGACATCTCCTCTAAACCCCACATCCTGACTTCTCCCTGCACAAGAGCTTTAGCCCCTATGGGAGTTGCGCCCTGGAGCATTTCTGCCTGTCTGAGATGGAGGCAGGACCCTGATGGGCAGGCCCAGGCTACTATGAACGTGCCTATGGCCACGGAAGTCAGGCCGCCCAGGAGAGGAGAAGTGCAATCAGCTATCCCCGAAGAATGGGAAAAGGCCAAGGAGGAACGCTCCCAGGGCAGAATCTTCAAACTGCACGCATAATCAGCAGACGCATTTAGCCACATGGAGGACTGGCCCCCGCGGGGAGGAAGCACAAGCCCACCTTGGCAAACCGATTGCTGCCAGTCCGCTCCTTGTGCAGGCTGTAGTCCAGGAGCCTCTTGCAAATGGTCTCAGTGACTTCGATTAACCGTAAGTCCCTGCCGAGACAGCAGCACAAGAGGGACTGAGTTTCCCTCCAGGCCCCAGTGGGTCAGCGGTCCGTCCCTCCAGCCCTGCTACCCCAACACCTGCGCATCTCACCAAAGGGAAGTCAGAGCTGGAAGGAAGATAGGTCATCTGGTCTGGGGGGCTCTGAAATGCTGGAACACAGACCAGAGAGACAAAATTTTAACAGCTCTATGGGAAGGAATTTTTTTTTTTTAATAAAACTTAAAGAATCAAGGTTTTTTTAATAAAGCAAAATGTACTAAATTTTGATGTTAAAATACTTCATTTTGAAAAGATCATAATTGATGGAAGTTTTTTTGTTTTTAATATTTATACCTAGCAAAATTAAAAGTTGGTAACCCTATATTACCAATATTTTTTAAAAATTGCATTGGTCCATGAAATCCAAGAATCTGTGAATCACTGATAAGGTCCAACAGTCTTGCTTTTACAGATAAGGAACGTGACGTCTAGAAGAGTTAAGGGACTTAGGAAGACCACACAATTAGCTGGAGGTAGGACCAGTGGGCAAACTTAGGTCTCAGTTAGAGCTGCCTCCCTTTGGGGGGTTTGCCGGGCTGGAAGGGAGAAGGGAATTCCAAGTCACTGAAGCCTCAAGGAACAAGGCAGTCCTGGCCAGTGGGTCCCCATTCACTTACGACTTGGTGTATTTGACTCCGGAAGCCTTCCGGTCCAGGATGCCATAGCCCGTGTCAATGACCTCCTTGGTCTTGCCAGTTTCCTCAAAGGCTGACTTCAGTTCCACAGCGACATATTTACACACTGGGGGAAGGAGACAGCACAGCCTACTGAGTGCATGTGTCTTTGATGGCAGCCAGCTCCCAGCAAAACAGACCCAAGTAAACGCCTCTCCCAGACTGGGTCAAGTCAATGCTCCAAGAAGCCAGGAAGACAAGGGGTTAGCACTGGACCTCTGAATGGATTTCACTGGGTGTAACTTGGCTGCAAGATCCACAGCCCCATATCCACTCTTTGCCCTTATCCCACCGACTTCATTTCTCCCAGCTCCTTCTTGCCCCTGGCAATCACTTACAAATGATTGTAAAGCAATCATTTTACTTTAAAAGTTTTCAAACATACAGAAGAGCTGAAAGAGGACAATGAATACCTATTACTTTCCATTCATATTCAACAGCTGTTAATGATTTACCACCAGCTCTCTCCAATATATAACATAAAACAATGTGATAATATAATAAATCTCAACATTATATACATTGCTTTTGCTAAACCATTTTGATAGTAAGTTGCAGACATCATGATCTTTAACTCCTAAATACATCATCACGCATCTCCTGAGAACAAGAATCTTCTTCCACCTAACCATAAAACAATTTTGACACTCAGAAAATTAACAGTAATTCCAAGATCATCTAATACTTAGTCTGTATTCAGATTTCCCCAACTGTACCTCAAATGTATTTTGTGGCTGTTTTATCACTGGATTTCTTATGTTGTGCAAACATCAGCTCTCTATTTTTGCAAGTGAATTTGCTCCATCCCCTCCAGAGGCCTTGTTTCTGTACATTTATTTTCTCATTTCCTCTTACTCTTCCTCAAATAGTTATTAAGCAAATCCTATGTGTCAGGCACTGCCTGGGGAAACAGAAATGAAAACCAGGTCCCTCCCTTTCATACACTTAGTCTAATGAAGCAGAAAGAAGTATAAACAATTAATTCCCACTGCATAAGGAGTGCTACCACTGAGGTGTGAAGTGCTTGAGGCCTTATGAAAGTGCTTACTGTCCGTTAGGGCTTTGGGGCTTTTCTGCCCATTCTCCCAACCTCACCTTAAAAGCCTCCTCCTATCTGCTCTTGATTTCATTCTGGGACCTGGCAGGACCCATGCTCTCTCACTAAGGGCCTTCCGTCATTTCACATGTCGGTCCAAATAGACTACAAGAGTACCCAAAGTGAGTATCGCGTACTGGGTTTTTTTTCTATATTCTTCCAGTCTGGGACTCTATGTGTTGGACACATGATGAATACTGCTGAGAGAGGCTGTGTTTGTGGTTGGGCAGCTTCTGATGCCTATGAATAGAATATAGCCTGCAAGCTAAATGCCATCAGCGTTGTTATAACACTGACAGCATAGTTTAGTAGAAAACCAATTTACCACCCAAACAAATACATCCCCTGGAGATTTGCTTGGTGAAATTTTATAACATATGCATTACTAGGTGGCTTAGAGAACTTGGAACACATGAAAATTCTAAAATATAAGATGGTGATCTCCAAGTCTGCAATGAATTGAGGGCATATCATCCCCCTTGCTCTCCATCCAGGACCATCTGGGTTCCCTCCCCAAATCTGTCCTGTATTCTGTGCAACATCATCATTTTTCTGGTTCCTCTGTCCCCTTCTCTCACATCCCCAACATGTAGTATTCCAGGACCAGGGGGATGGAACCCATCAACCCATCTCTCATACTCATCAGCCGCAATCTTGCTTCCCAATTCTTCCAAATCTCACCTCCTCAACACCCACTCTGGGGATCCCACCCAGAACCAGAAGGAGACAGAGACTCACGGAGACTCATGGCACAGACCTCAGACCCTCATGGATATCTACCCACTCTTTCTGGGGAAGTTCTCCTTCCCCTGTGCCAATGCCTGCTCCACTCAGGTTACTGAGCCAGGAGGCAGGCTTTGTGGGCCAGACACGGTAAGCATTTAATAACAAAGATGTAACAATGATAAATAAAAGTAAATACACTATTAAGAGGACCCTAAGGGTTAGAGTTTGCCAAGCCATCTTGTGATTGAAAATCCCTCTTATTTTTATTTTTTGAAAATCCCTTTGAAATTTATCTGTATCAAGTACCTACAAAATGAGGTTGGACTAGGGGCCGGCCGAGTGGCGCGATGGTTGAGAACTCGCTTGGGATGCCAGAGGGCCCCGGTTCGGATCCCACATATGAGGGCCAGTGACACTGCCCTCCACAGCTGGGATGCTGAACAACAGCTCAACCTGGAGCTGGGCTGCCATGGGTCACCGGCGACGGCGTGGGCTGCAGTCCCTGTGGCAGTGGATTGCCATGGGCTACCGTGTGTGGCCAGCAGCCAGCGTGAGCGGCCAGCAGCCAGCGTGAGCGGCTAGCAGCCGCAGTGAGCGGCCGTCCAGAAGCCGGCGACTGATCTGCCTCGCCAGAGAAGAGTGCAATGATAACACCAACTTGGGCCAGTGAAGCAACATCCTCCACAACTAGATTGAAGAACAAAACGACAGCAACTTGTCTGTTCCCCTTCCTCCAATTCCCCTGCACTGTTCCCATCCCCCCAATTCCCCAATAAAAATCTTTAAAAAAAAAAAAATGAGGTTGGACTAGAATGGTCTCAAAGAACCTTGCCAGTTCTATGCGTCTATGAGTCTGGGAATGCCTTTAAGGAAAAGAAATGTGAGCTTCTTAGGCTATGAGAATAATAAGAGAAACAGTAGGGGCTCTTTGATATCAGAATAAAATAGAAAACAGAGATGAGGAAGTGAAACCCTCAAAGAATGTCTGGTAGGACTAGAGGAAGAATGAAAGGAAAGCATCATAACCCTCTGTCTATTCAAGGGAGCAAGGGAGAAGGGACAGGTTGGAACCCATACTGGGAGAACTACCAGTGAAATCAGACCATCTCTGAAGCACCTCACCTTTAATCTCTCATATGGAAGGACTGTGTGTCCTAAACCACCCCACCCCCACTTCCCAGGGTTTAGGGAACATCTGGCCTGCTACAGGCTTTGAATCGGATCAAACAGATTTACAGCCAACCTTCTGGGAGGCCTGGGGTTAGGGAGGTAGGCAGGAAGGAGTGGCTGTAAAGGTCTGAGGAGAAAACAGAAATGGAGGGGAAGAAGAAAAGGTGAGCCCTTCATAGCGCTGGTTTCCTGCTTCACGTGCAGGTATTCCTCTCAATCTCTCTCTCTCTCCTCTCTCCTTTCTTGGGATGCACTCTCTTTCCTTATTCCTAAAGTCTTCCTCCCTCACCAGGTTCCCCCAGATTCTATTCTCCCCAAGTAACCCCTTAGGCCTCAGACCCTCCTCCTTCCTCCACACCCCCCCAAAGCCCCCCACTCCGTTATTAATATTTATTCCAAATACATTTATTGGGAGCCGACGAGGCACTGTGTGAATAAGTATCTGAGAAAGGTCCCTGCCCTCAAGTTGCTCGCAGCTGGGGTTGGGGGAGACAGCCAATTACACAAATTAGGTTGCGGTGAGGGCACAAAGGGGAGAGAGTCTTCTTCCCCTAAGACCAGCCATGTGAATCTTTTCAGTTCCTCAAACTTGGCCTTTGCCTCTTAGCCTGTAGCCCTCTGCATCTGTGGTTTCCTGAGTGAGACTCTCTCTCTTTACTTCTCTTCACCCGCCTGAATCCCAAGTACTCTTGGGCTTCCTATACGAGGCATTTCCAGACTTCCCTCTACACCCCGCCTTTCGCCCCATCTCTAGGCTGGACTAGATGCTCCTCATCCGGCCCCTAAAGCCCTGTACCTCGTTTATCACCATCTACTACCCTGCAAGATAACTGCTTGTTTTTACCGATTGTAACCTCCAGGTGCACCGAAACCCGTTCTCTCTCCCGCCCCTGGATACCCAGCATCCGGCACAGAGCCAGGCACACAGTAGGTTTAATGAATGAAGACGCTCACTCAGGAGCCCAGGACCTTCCACCCCGACCCTTCTCCGTTAGGTCCCGCCCCTCCAGCAGGGTACTCCTGCGGGCCCCGCCCCCTCACCTTCGCATTTGCTGGGCAGGCGAACCCAGTCGGTTTCCTCGGCTTGGGCCTGGCTTGGGCCCAGTTCTGGGGCTGGCAGCAGCAGCAGCAACAGAAGCAGAGGGAGAAGCAGAAGCCAGCGGGGCCTGAGCCGGGGCGCGGGCTCAGGCAACGACTCCATGGCCCAGCCAGACCCGACCCGAGCACACCAGCTGCGTTGCGCGCGCGGGGCAGTGTCCCCAAGCCGCTTCCGGGACTGCACACGTGCCTCCGCGTAATTTGGGCAACAGCGAGCCCGGGGCCCGCTTGCTCCTCCGGCCGCCTCCGCCCACCCCCAGAGCCGAGGAAGTCCTGCGGCCTGTGCAGCCAATGGGCTTTTCGGGGTTCACCCTCAAGCGAATGGGGAGGACGCCTGTTTTTCGGCTTCGGCCAATGAGAGGGCGGATGGTGTCCGCAGTGACCAATAGCAACATCTTTTCCCACCCACTAACAGAGGCTCTGGGAGGGACTGGAGGACCAGGTCCAGTGGAGGGGAAGCCGCGTGCCGGGCCTGGAAAATGTGCGAAAGGCCGTCTTCACGGTCTTCTCTGCCACCTTGCACGTCACTTCCCTCCTGGGGTCATAATGCAGAAAGCTCTAACTGATCACGTTTTAAAATTATTATTGCTGTTGTTGTAATTGCCAGCCTTTCTAGTAGGTGCTGTGGGTGACCAGGAGACTCGAACAGTCCTCAGCCTTCAAACAGCTTTCACCCTCCCCCCCCTCTTATTTGTTGTTGTTCAACTTTCTTAGGGCCCTGTAACCTTAGATTTGTCCCAGTGAGAACTGGAACAAATCACTTGGTATCTGAGCTTCAGTTTCCATCTGTATGATGACTGAGTGATCCAACTGCTATTTGAAGCTTGTCTGTTGCTGGGAAGCTCAAATAGGTGAGTGGAATTAAAGCTTATCGAGCAGATTGTAAAAAGTTCACGCATTAATTTCCTTTTTAGTGTGTAACCTCAGTCCCTTTTACTGCCCTATTATTTATTTCTTTGGATTCTGAGCTCCCAGAAAGCAGGGACTTGATTTATCTAGGCCCTCCTGCGAAATAATGTTAAGCCAGCATCAGTGGGGGTTCAGAGTCTGGAGCAGAGCAGGACTGGGGGAATTGGAGCAAGATGGGAAGAAAGGTGTTGAAGCTAAGGGAAGCCCTGCTTCCAAAATGAGAAGGCATTTACTGAGGCAAGAATTAGTTTGGCAGGAGCCCTGGGCTCATTATCTGGGCTGAGAGCTGGGAAGGGGCAATGACTGGAGAAAGTCTGAGGCTATGGCTGGGCCCTGCCTCACCCTGACCCAGCCTACCCCCTCCTCAGTCTGTGCATTGGGGAAGGAGCAGGCCCTGTGAGGGTGGTGGTTGGATTCATCCCTAAAAGTTGTAGGACACTCCCCACCTTGAAGAATCCAAAGAAGAAGTAGAGAATCTTCTTACAGGTTTGTGAGAGATGAGCAGTGGAGATAGTGAGGGTTTTCATGGACCAGCAGCTGAGAGGGCACAGGAAGCCGGAGGTGTCATTGACACCATATTGGGAGGAGGGGGGAGATGTTAGAGTATACTTCCCCACCATCACCTTAGGGGAAAGAAGACTAAGGCAACACCATTTATCCAATAGACTGTCCTGTGCTGTCCAGAGACATTTAGATTGACATGAAAGCACCCAGAGTTTCTTGAGGTGATTACTGAGAGGAACCCCTGGGGAAGGATGGATTTCCTGCCAGCTCTGAAGAAACAGGGGACACACATGTTTCACTCTATCATGGGAGCCTTATAGTCTATCAGTGCAAGGACCCTTTTTAGGAAACAAAACAAAAACCTCGTTAGTGCCTGGCTCAGAGTTGAATGCTCAATGAATGTTTGTCAAATGAATAATGACCCTTAATTGATTAATAACGTGTAAGTTTGGAATTACCATCCGTGCTCCTGGCGTTGGACATAATCCTGTTACTCTGGGATCTTGGCCCTGTTCACTTCTGTCGAGTCTGTACAAGACTTCACAACAGGCCCTGCACCCCACCTTCCTGGGTTCCTCACCCTGATCTCTCACAGAGGTTGGGCCAGGATGAGGAGACAGAGAAGGGGCCTTGACCCATGCCTGGCTGTGGGGTCAGGAGCCAGAGGCGGGACAGTGTCCTCCCCAACCCCCAGCTCTACTCTGCAATTCCCAGGCTCTCACCCTCAGGAAGCCCTCTTCCTCAGGGGAGCTTCCCCAGATTTCTGCCTCCTCTAAACCTGCCAAATGCCCTTCTCCCAGAGGAGACATGAATTAAAATATTTTTCACTTGCTTGTGTCATTTAATTGCACCTCAAATGTCCCAGTGCCTGGATCAATCACCACCCTCAAGGGGTTCCCAATCTGATGGGAGAGATGCACCCTTTTTCCTCAAAAAGCCCTCAGTTGGAGAGGGGAGACAGAGCCCAGCCCCTGGGAAGCTTCGATCTGCAGGCGGACGCAGGCCACATACAAATGCTCCAAGGCTGGAGGCCAGGATACTGAAGGTGGGTCCTGAGCACCGGGCCCAAGCTGGGGCGGTAGAGAGCGTCCCCTCCGCTCAGACTGGGCTCCTGGGATCCGGGGCCCGACGGTAGGTGTGAACCCTGCGGCCGGCCAGGGGCTGCAGAGCCTGCGGGACGGACTGGGTGAGCCCTTGGCCTGTGGTGCCCCCTTTACTGCGGTGACTCCAGTCAGTGGGGGCGGAGGGCTCTCCTATCCTCAGAGGCTTCCGGCGCGTAGGGGGCGCAGGGAAACCCGGGTTCCGCGGGCCAGGCGCCGGGTCCGGGTCCCCTCGCGAGGCGGGCAGGGCGCGGAGGCGGCAGCACGTCAGGAGCACGTCAAACAGCAGCAGCTTGAAGAGCAACAGCCGCAGCGCCCCCAGCCACAGCGCCTGGTCTGGCATCACTGTGGGAGGGAGAGGAGTGGGTTAGGGGCCTGGAGGCTGGCCCTCAGCCCTCACCCCCAGGAGAATCCTCTGCCCTTGCCATACCTCCTCCCCTTCTCCCCCTTCTCCAAATCCAGGGAAAGTCCTTCCTGGTGTCTAACCTAAGCTCTTACTGGTAATAACAAGTACCTGCCTAGCTTTCATTTTATTTTATTCACTAACGACTAGGAGGCTGTAGGCCAGGCAACAATTAGCATTCCACGCAGAGAAAGGACAGTAATCAGCTCAAAAGTCTCTATTTTGGTCAAGAAGAGAACCCGACCAGCGACTCTGTCCAGCGGGTGATAGGACTTTCCACCATCCAGACAGTCTCCCAAGGTTGATGCTGAGACCATCCATCTGAGCTGCCCAAGGAGAACTTCAAGTGCCCTTCTGATAACTCTCTCCTGTGCTTCTCATATGGTGCCCCCGAACTGGGCTGAGGTCAGAGGATCTATCCCCATCTTATCCACTGGTAGACAGAGGCCCAGGTTGGCCATTGCACAAACCCAGCAAAGCAGCCTCTTCAGGGGACACCCACCAACCCCCAGTGGGACCCATTAGGACCACCTGCTTCCCAGTACTCACCCCTGAGAGGCTCCCAGAGGCAGGTCCTGGCTGAAGAAGTCTCTCCTGTCAGCCAAGGAGAAGGGAGTGAGATTTGGGATGGGCCATGGCCTCCGCCCCAGTGCTATTCCCAGCCCTGGCACAGGGCAGCTGTTCATGGCATGTTGGATAAATGAACAAATGAACCAGCAGTGGGAACCCTGAGCCCATTTGCTGTAAGTCCTCCAAGAGGTCCAGACCTCCCTGTCTCTCTGCTGTCCCCTGTTCTGTGCCCTGGAGAGGCTTCAGCACTTTCAGACCAGGAATCGATTTTCTTAGCAGCCTTCTTTGGAAGGCAGGGCATTTATTCAACAAACATTCCCATTCGGGAGGTGACAAAACTAACATAATCCAAAAGAGGAAGGAAGTCATCTGGTCAATAATAATAATGACTAGCTTTGGACATGTTTCATAACCTCTCTGTGCCTGTAAAATGAGGGAAGTAATATGATCTACTTCATAAATGTAAAGTGTTTACAACTGTATCTGGTACAGAGTAAACACTGAATAAGTAAGTGGTAGCAATTTATTATTTAATTATTGTTTGGTTCTACTAGGTAGGGTGTCATATATAGGGTGACATATATATATATAGATATGTCTATATATGTCTATATAGACATATCTATATATGTCACCTAGGGTGACATATATAAATATACGTCACCCTAGGTGTGTATATATTTATATATATGTGTGTGTGTGTGTGTGT